ATCAAGGGTCAAGCTCTTAGGACAATAGAGATTACTTCCCAGGGTAATGAAAGAACTAGTGGATGTAATTGAAGAACAAGCTTGGTAATGCTGAGAAATACAGGAGAACTGGCAAGATCTCAGAAAACTGGCATAAATCTATCAGTTTAGCATAGATCTATCAACTTGATATTTTGGACAAGATATTAACAAAGATAATCGTGCAGTGTGTTTTGACTTATGTATGCTACCGATACAATTAAAAGCAGCCAGCACAATCTGCTACAATTCTTAGCATATTGATCTTACTGATGTTTGAAAGTAATGATAAATTTGATTTCAGCTTCAATTATTGAATGCAGACATAGTGTACTTGGACCTCAAAAGAAAACCCTTTATATAATGTGTCGTAACATTCTCCTTAATAAAGTGCTCAGAATTTGAGCTAGATGATAGCTTGGTTTGATGGATTCACAATTGCTACGAGTGTGTGCTTGTTAATGCTCCACTTCAGTGTGGAAGACAATATCATATCACAAGGACTACATACACTGCTATGTATCCTGGGCTGTTCATTTTTATGAATGAGTTGGATAGAGAAGTTGAAGGAAGCTTATCATGACATTAAACTGGCAGGGGCGACAATATTTCAAATAGAGAGAAAATTTAAAAAATCCTAGACAGGCTTGGGCTGTGGACTGAAATGCATACACTATAATTTAACAGAAGGATGTGTGTAAAGCTTTGCATCTGTGCTGTAATAATGTAAAGTCTAAGAATAGGATGACTTGACAATAGTCCAAGTTATTTCCTTATTCTTGCTATTAAATATGTGATATAACTTAAAATGTGTAGTTGGGACAAAAATGAAACACACATTCTCAAGCAAAAGCATATCCTATTCTATTTTTAATTTCACCTTTTGTCAGAATACGTTGTAATTTTGGATGCGTTCCAGTGTCCTTTCATTTTCCTCCCCCCAAATAGCATTACTTAAAGGTAAAGGTTCCCCTTGCACATATATGTTAGTTGTTCCCTACTCTAGGGGGCGGTGTTCATCTCCGTTTCAAACCCAAAGAGCCAGCGCTGTCCAAAGATGCCTCCATGGTCCTGTGGCCAGCATGACTAAACGCCAAAGGCCCATGGAACGCTGTTACCTTCCCACCAAAAGTGGTCCTTATTTTTCTACTTGCATTTTTACATAATTTCGAACCGCTAGGTTGGCAGAAGCTGGGACAAGTAACAGAGCTCACTGTTACACAGCGCTAGGGATTTGAACCTCCAAACTGCCAACCTTTCTGATCGACAAGCTCAGTGTCTTAGCCACTGAGCCACCGCATTCCAATTACTTAGCTTTGCATTACTTAGCTGATTTAAAAAATAAGTACAGCCGCTGAGTTGAGAGACACCAGGAATCTCAAGCTGGGCCAAAAAATCCCCAGAAGCAAGCAAGAGCAAAGACTGCAGCATTGGGAGCAAGGAAACTACATGACCTGTGTATATGTAGTCACAAAGAATGGAACTCAGAGTCCTTTTTAGGGCAATAGCATTATTCAGCAAGGTACAAATAACAAAAACACAACTAAGCAACTAGATGAGTTTATCATAGCAAATCCTTCCTCTTTATTTTACATCATTTTGCACCAAATGAAGTCTATGAGTCCAAGCTGAAACTTAAGTTGTGTTTCCCCACCTTGGCAATTTTAAAATGTGCAGACCCAAAATGCTGGTGAGGTTCAACACATCTGAATTGTCAATGTTGGAAAACACTGACTGAGATTATTAATCTATGCATTAGGTCAGGGGTCTCCAAATTTGGCCATTTTAAGACTTGTGGACTTCAACTCCCAGAATTCCTCAGCCAGCTTTGAGGAATTCTGGGAGTTGAAGACCACAAGTCTTAAAGTGGCTCAATTTGGAGACCTCTGCGTTAGGTCAAAGTGCCACAAATCTTTTGCTGCCACAGAAAAAACTGCCCCGCCAAGAAACGAAGTTGAGAAAAGCTTCACCTGTGGAGTTTCTTGCCTGCGACCGAAGCCCTGGATCCGAAGAAAAAGCTAGGTGGCCGGAAAGGAACAAAAAGGGATGCTTCGTAAAGCAGCCTAGCGCGGTGACTCAACAGAAGTGCATCGCTTTGACGGGTAGAATCAGCTGCTCTGCTCCGGTTGACAAGGAATCACGCCAGTTCATGCGCTCAGGCGGTTCCGCGCAATGGAGACGGCGGGAAGAAAATGCCAAAGGTTCCTTTCCTTCACGCAAACCACCACCACCCCGTCTCCCCTCAAACCTATGAGCGGAAATAAACGGGTGACCCGGATCTGGAAGGCAGAATCCCCATGGAGACGGTTTGGTTTTACTAGCGCGCATGCGTTTTCCTAAATCCTTTCGTAGAGTTTCGCGCGCAAACCAGGAGCGGATGAAAATGCGAAGAGCGGCGATAGAGAGAGGCGTGTGGTCCTTCAACGCACGCGCACTGCACCGTCACTTCCTGTTGTTTTTTATGTTCACTTCCGGCGGTGGCTCGTTGGACTGATTGAGTCCGCTTTGTCGGGTAAGTTGGCCCTTGTTTTCTTAGGATTCGATCATTCTGAGGGAAAAGAATGGAGAGGATTTTTCCCCCAATTATTATTTCCATTTGGATAAATTGATTTGCCTTCTTTTTTAGTGATAGCTTAGTCTCCCCCGCCTTCCCCCTTCAAGGCAGGTACGTTTCGAAGAGGCGAAAGTGAAAGGCTGGGCCTCTTCTTCAGCTACGTCATTTCTACTAGTTTGTGCGCGGACGGATTTCTTATTTAATACGTAGCCCGAATTCCGGGTCGTCAGAAGCCGCGGTGACCGTCCCTTCTGGAGTTTCCTTGCCACGGAAGTTTCATGGCGCCTTAAAGGCGAACGTTTTGGGCGGTTAGGAGACACGTTTTCGCCCTTACCTTCCGTAGTGACTCAACATTAAAAAGTCTTGGTCACTTGACAACATGCAGAATGGCCTAACCCCAACATTATCCTAGAATTCAAATGATAATTAGACTGTATAATGTTAGTGTTTTTAAAATAATGCATTTATTACATTTTCCAACTGCCCTTCCTATGAATATACATATATATTCGCAACACAGGCATACAGATTGAGTTATCCCCCAAAATATTTCCCTTGTGAAGTGTTACAATTTTGTTTGCCAGATATTCAATAAGATTTTTTTCTGATCCTTTAAAACAAGATTTTTCTATTGCTTAGAGCATTCGTATAATATTTGGCATTGTTGAATTGATAATTCAGTTTAATGCTTTTCAGAGGATCCTCAGTCTTATTAGACTTACTTATTGTATATATCACTGTAATTTAAAATTATTTCAAACAGCAAAAATGTAGTATTATGGTATAAAACACCTATAATGGTATCCCATCATTCTTGCAAATTGCTGATTGCTTGATTTCTGAATTAAGTGTGAATTGTATTTGTGTATTTATTGTACATCTGTAGTTTTATATAAGATAATTCACTAGTATTAGATATTAATAGTCATAGGCAATGTCTATACATATCTACATATTTATGATAGATAGATAGATAGATAATTTCTTGTAAAAAGTTTTAAAATTAGAATAATTTTAAATTATTCTAGAGAAGAGTTAAACAAATGATAGAACTTGATAAATCTTAACTGATTTTCTGTAGTAATCATAGCATTACTTTATTTTTAACTACATAATGGAATGTACATCTCTGAATGAAAGTACTAAAGTACTATATAAGTAAAATTTAGGTTGGTGTAGCCTTATCAGTTCAGCAGATTAAATACTGATTTTGATATACTCCTTTAAAAGAATGTTCCAAAAGTGGATGAGTGGATTTCATTACACTTTGTCAAAGCCTCAGTCAGATGAATTTTATTCTGTCCCATCTATGATGTAAATACAGGCAGCTCTAGTCTATTGTTCAGAACTACCATATTTTTCGGAGTATAAGATGCACCTGAGTATAAGACACACCAAGATTTTGAAGAGGCAATTTTTTTAAAAAAAGGTTTTGCACTCTACAGACCTCTCAAAAACAGCCTGTTTTTCATGAAAACGGGCCCATTTTTTGCTCATTTTTGTCCTCCCCAGCCCCCAGGAGCACTCTGGAAGCCTCCTAAAGGCTATGCACAGCCATTGTTGCAAAAGGGGCAGGGTTTCGGGAAGGCAAAAATGCTGTATTCAGTGTATAAGACACACCCAGATTTTCACCCTCTTTTTTTTAGGAGAAAAGCGGCACCTTCTACTCGGAAAAATATGGTACTCTTATGTTAGAACTGTGATAGCAAACCTATGGCACATGTGCCACAGGTGGCACGCCAAGCCCTCTGTGAGTATATGAGTTGTTGCCCCAGCTCAGCTCTGCCGCATATGCGCGCGCACCTCCCACTTGCCAGCTGGTTTTCAGGGCTCTGCTGTGCATATGTGGGGGAGCAGGGCACATGCAGGAGATGTACGTGCGTGCACAGTGGTGGGGAGTATGCGTGCAGTCACACACAGGTGCAAGGGGCTGATCACACAGGACATGCATGGGTCGGGTTGCATGCAGAGGGGGTGTGTGCTTTGCATTATGGGTGTGCATGTGCATGGGTAAACCATGGGTCTCTCCAATAAATGCAAGCATAGTTTAACCACACAGGTGCAATTCAGCTTAGCATCCCCATCATAGGCTTGTTCCAAACAGCAACAAAGGCATCTGCCAAACTAAATGTCAGCTTTGGGGAAAGCCCCCAAGCTCCTGAAATTGCACTAGGTCCATGAGACATCTGAGTGTGTATGTGTGGGGGCGGACTCGTTGCAGGATGGGACAGCATCCCATCAAATCCAGATCACAACACCACTTCCCCAAGGCAAACACCAGATTCATTATGTTGCCCCCTGGATAAGTCAGAGCACAAATGAGTTGGGCTGATCCAAGGCTGCCATGAACTGTTCAGTGCTTAAGCCCTGAGATGAAGTCTCCCAGAAGCATAAGCCTGCCAACCCAGGAGCACAGGTAGGCATACAGCAATGCTGCAGGGAGGAAGGTAAATGAGCAGCAATCCTCATTGATGCCTATATCCAACCTAATAAAGAGGGTCTCTTATCTAGTGTGGTCTGACCTTGTAAGCCCCTCATGTTGTGTTAATTTTTTTGAATTCCCAACTACCATTTTTATTCTGCTATTTTTTGAGCTGCCGTATAAAGAGATTCTAAAAGACATTTCTATGCAAATTGATATATAAAGTAGTAATCAGCATATATAATAGTATATATTTGATGCATTTCAGTTAGAAATTTATACTTTCATTATGGCATTCAAGTTTTATAATGAAAGTTTAATATTTTTTCTTCCAAAGATTTGAACCTTTCTGGTTGGTGATAGGTATCATATTTTCAATCATTTACAATTTTTCAGTCTCATTCCATATTAAACGGCTTAATACTTTGTCTTAATATGCAAAAGATAATTTACTTATAGTAAATGCATATTTAAACACTTGTTTAGAAAAAAGCTTCAAGGTATTGCAAGAAATGGCTTCTTTGATGGCATGGGTAACAGTTAAAATTGATCGTAGGATTTTTTTTGTGAAACAGCTAGGAACTTGAAAGGTGACTTGAAAGTCAGTCTACTTTGGAGTCTATATAATATGCAGTTCTGTTAAATGTATACCATTTTTATAGGCTTATTGCAGTTCCTGTTCTCTAAACGAGAGACAGTTTGGTGCAGTGGTTAAGCATCTGGGAGACGTGAGTAGTCCCACCCTAGGCATGAAGGTGATCTTGGGCCAGTTATTTTCTCTCAGCTTTAAGAAGGAGGCGATGGCCTCCAACATGATTGAACAAAAGGAAAAAAAAATATCTACATAAAATCAATATCAGTATGTTTTTCTTGTTAGCATTCATTATATGGCAGGCAGAAGAGCATTCTAACAACCTGCAGATGGAATCAGAAGCTAAAGAAGGAGATGAAGAGAGCCTGCAAACAGCTTTCAAAAAGTTGAGAGTGGATCCAACTGGGTAGGTAACAATTGCTTAAAATTATTGTTTTTTATGGCCTTGGTGCTTTTAATGGTGTATTGTTTTCTTTTTGCAAGCTTAAAATTGGAAGTGAACAAAGTTTCAGAGCTCATCATTCATGTTTGCCTTACTCTAGATTTTGTAGAAAATGCTGTTTCTAGTGTGGATATTGGGAAGTTTCATTCCCTAGCATTGACTTCAAGTAATAAAATATGTGTAAGATACGCATGGATCATTTGGTTGGTTCAGGATCTTGTGTTTGTTTTTACACAAACTGTGACCAGTTGCATTATCCTTTCGGAGATACTTCCTTACCAAATTCCTCAATGCTTTCAACAGTGACCAAATTTCTAATGTACTTCCTTCACTCAGAAAACTGGGATACATTCAGAGATGTATCTGCCTTGAAAAAGCCCATGTTGAATATCAGTACAGGAAATGTTTTATGGCTTTTGTATTACAGGTAGTCCTCGGCTTACGACCACAATTGAGCCCAAAATTTCTGTTGCTAAGAGAGACAATTGTTAAGTGAGTTTTGCTCTATTTTACAACCTTTTTTACCACTGTTAAGTAAATCATTGCAGTTATTAGGTTACTAACACAGTTATTAAGTAAATCTGGCTTCCTCATTGACTTTGCTTGTCAGGATGTAGCAAAAGATGATCACATGACCCAGGACACTACAACCATCATAAATATGAGTCAGTTGCCAAATGTCCAAATTTTGATCATGTGACCAGGATATGCTACAATGGTCAGGAGTGTGAAAAAACAGTAATAAGTCACTCTTTTCAATGCTGTTGTAACTTTGGTCACTAAATGAATTGTTGTAAGTCGGGGACTACCTGTATGTCATAAATGGTTTTATGATAATGTTTCTGTCATTAAATGTTCTATGTAAGTATTTTTTCCAGATAGTTGGGCTTGCATGATTTGTTTACAGTTCTAGCACTAATCAGTTTTAAGTACTAGATGTTCACTTCATTGAGCCATGAGACTTATCCCCAGTTTCCTACTGACTTTCTGGGGAAGCAATCATGGAAGTTTGGAAATGGCAATCACATCATCGTGATATGCTTGGTAAACAATTGAAGGAATTCCCAAGCATCTAGATCACAATCATGTGACCATCTAGATGCTGAGATGAGTAGAACTCTGAAGATTGGTCATAGCCATGCTGCTGTACCTTGCAATGGTCACTGACTGAATGATTTTAAGTTGAAGACTACCTGTACCCTGTTCCACTTTCTTCTTACTCATTTTACAGAATAGCATTTAATATGTTGTCTGTTCCTTAAATCAGATCTTCTGTTAGTGAAGGAACAGGATTGCGAACTCCAGGCAGAGCAACTGTTGATGGAGGCTGGCATCAAATTGTCTGTTCAAGAGAGATTTGGCACCGGTAAGGAAAACTACCCTTTTTTGTTTGAAATTTCTTTTTAAAGTGTCAATACTTGGCTAAGATAAATGTGTAAAACTTAGGGTGAAGCTTATTGTACAGCGATCTGTTTGCATTTTGTTTCTATCTTGTCTAGTTGAGAATGTATTTGGAAATAACTGGAAGAAATGCAGTGGATTATTTTAATTACATCAACTGTTCATAATATTTCTTTCTGATTAGATATATTTGCAACCCTTAAAATTTTCAATTTGATTTTTTTATGGACAAAAGTCAAGGCACATGACATGAAATTACTTCATCCATAGAACGAGAGCAAATAATTTAGTATAAAATGCCTATGTTCTAGAACGAAATATATTCTAGTTTCTGCTAACATTATTGCTTTCTGTTACAGAAGTGCACGGAAATCCTTGAAAGGGACAACAAGACCACAACGACGCAGGCGTTCCAAATCTCCTGTTCTTCACCCCCCAAAGTTTACATACTGCAGCATAAAAGCATCTTCTGTAAATAACCAACTGAAACACAAAAGTCAGATTGATGCTCCAAAGAATAAAATCAGTCCAGATCCTAGAGTTTCAGAAGAGCTGTACCTAAATGGAAAGAGGTGCCCACTTTTAGACAACAGCAACTGCAGAAAAAGCAGAGCAGGACATCAGAAAACATGTACTGGTGAGCAGCCTTCCAAGAATTTAGGAAGAAAATGCCATACTTTTTCTTTGACCTTTGAAACCAGCCTGGATCCTAGCCAGCCTTCAGATTTCCAGTCTCTCTCCAAGATGAGTTATGAGAAGCAGTGCCCATACATGGACAAAGAATGGCAAGCAATAGAAACATACTCCTTTTCCGGTTTGCGGAGCGTCTTATCAGAGTGTGAAAAGGCAGTCCTGGAAGTGCGTTCACAATCTTTACCAAATCGATCACCTTCTAGTACAGGTTCGTCTGGCTCTGTCCGGTCTTGTTCGGAGCAAGCTCGAGTCTTTGTGGATGATGTGACTATTGAAGATCTTTCTGGGTATATGGAATATTACTTATATATTCCCAAGAAAATGTCTCACATGGCGGAGATGATGTACACTTGAGATGAGAATCATGGGTTTAAAATTCAGTGGTGGTAGTGAATATTTCCTCAGTGCTGTAGATGGAAATGTGTCCATTGTCAATGCTGCGTGTTTGATCAAATGTTTATTTGCACCATATAATGTAGTTTTTTAAATAAAGTTTAAAAAGGCGATATATGTTTAAAGGTGCGTTGGATTAAATCGGATGGTTTAAGAATGTACCTGGATAAAAAATTTGTTCTCTTGATACAGTCTAAATTTTAGTTTCCTAAAAACTTCAAACAAGGTTTGTCTTTTAATAAGAGTTTTCCTAAAATGCAGCAAATTCTGTAGATTTCAAACTAAATTTACCAAATTAGGTAAAACAATCAGATCTACTGATAAATTTGCAGTAAATTTGCAAGGATTTTCTTTCTTTTTGTATTTTTTCCCCCCCCAAAAATAGAGTTTTCTCACTCTAAAGTGAAGAATGCTTTGGCTGAACAGGAGTGGATGTTTTTGTGAGAGAACTTTGAGCTCATATCAGTTCTGATAATGAAAAGAAATTTCTAATTCAGGTGGTTATGCAGATAACTTACACTCTGCTAGTATAAGATTGGTTAACTTGTTATGCTAAGCCAAAATCCTGGGGTTTTTTTACGAGCATGTCTTTTGTAACCATCTCTAAACGGTTGGATTTCTTATGACGATAACAAAAATAGATCCAACAAGCCTAAAAGGTACTCAGTCCTGCCCAAGTTTGATATTTCAGATGAGTGAAAAGTTAAAATAATTTTGTGCACTTTCTTGTATAGGATTGAATATGAGTCTGCAATTTTTAAAGAAACAGGTTTTGGCATTGTTAATATTTCTCCTAAATAATTTTTCTGATCTAACTTTCCTTAATATATCAGCTTCTAGCAAAACATACATACCCCTAAGTTGATTTTAATCAGATTAATATTTCATTGGTAAATATAAGTTTTTCTTGAACATCCAACAATGAGCTTATATAGTTCTTATATAGTTTTCTTTTTTTAATAAGCCATAGTGGTTAAGTGTAATCATCACACTAAGCCACCAATATATAGACTAATGCAATATGTGAGCTCATCTTTTTAATTAGCTGGCCTGGGCCTTGTTTGCATAACACACGCAAATTAGTCATAACTGCTCTCAGTTGATTGAGTGATCTTTGCCCCTAGCACATGATCTTGGATGGCTTCATCAGTCATCTGATGTTTTCAGTCTTATTTGGTACCACAAACAAGGCAGGAAACTCCCTTTCTGCTTCACTTCCTACATTTTTATTGTTCCCAATTGGAAGAAGAAAAGTTGTTATGGCACTATAGGATTGAGAGAACCATGACTAGGTTTGGATAGGTTGGACTGTTTCCCACATAGTTTTCCTCTTTTTCAATACCAAGATCCATGTGGTCACGGGAATCATAAAGGATTACATAAACTGTTCAGAAGAAGCACTGCTTTCATAACACCTTTCTAGAACTCAATTATGACTGTTGGAATAGTAGGTTAAATTTTAAATTCACAGAACATCTTAAAGTTACTTCATCAAAGGAATTTGTTTAGCCCCGAATGGACTGGGTCGTTTGGGGCAATTTTCAGTGGTTTTTTTGCTGGAAGCTGCCATTTACTTAATGACTGCAGAATTCATTTAATGAACACAGATGCACTTAACTCACACCCCAAAATGTCATAAAATCTGGTTCAGTCCCATGACTCAACTTCTATAACTGTTAACTGTAATTCCAGGCTCAATTAAAGTTCTATTATCAAGGACTACCCGTAATACAGTTACTTTCTCACTAGGTTCCTGCAAGTCTTGACCTCTCTTCATTTTAGGTTAGGGCGTTTCAAAAGAGACACTGTAATTAACTATATTAAATAACATCTTCAAATTAAAACAAATGTGTGCTAGCTATGGATTTTGTAGTTCATTTGTCCTTAAAACTAGTTACGGAAAGCATTTAGTTAAGCCATAAGCCAGTAGATAAAAGGAACCTCAGAACTATCTAGGTGCCTCCAGGAACAGAAAGCAAAAACTTCCGCTGTACAACATCTATTTTTATTCTGCAGAAAGCCATTTGAATGAACAAAGCTTGGCATCCCATGGAATTAAAAAAAGTGAAAACTTTAAGAAATATGAGGGTTTCCTTGCAGCATAAGGATAAATCCATTAATATACGATGGAAATATTGCAAAATAGGCTAGCTCATTTTGCTTATTTGGCCCCTACCTGAAGCAAAACGTCTTTAAAAAACCTCCCCTGAAACAAAGTGCTGTTTCTGAGTATAGTGGCTTGCTTCAATTAAACCTTTGAATAGAGGAATTTCCCTGCAGATTGTGCATTTGCAAATCAACGTGGGGGTTGGTTCTATCCCCATACATAAATACTTGTGATGATGAAAATTCAATCCATTACATGCATACCAGAAGTAGCTGTTTTATGCTGTAATTATTAAATGATACATATATGTACCATTTGCTATATGTCAATATTAGAAATATTGGGTGTTCCCTTTATCTTAAGTATATATACATACATACATATATGCCTTAATTTTATAAAGAATGCAATTAATGTTTCTGGTTTACTTTTGATTAACAGATTCTCCTCATATTTGAACCTCTCCTGCATTGTAGGAAGACTCTACAGGTATAATGGAATAGGTGTATTGCTGTGAGAACAAACTTGAAACCATGGTAACCATACTGTTATGACCCAAGTGGTCACGGTTAGCAGGCCTCCAGAGAGTTCTCTATTTCTCTTGGGAATGGTTAAACAAATGGCCCTCCACTGACCAGTAAGGCTCCACCCTCAGTCCCCCAAACAACAGCCCATAGATTATTCAGCAAATCCACAAGGCAAAAGTCCAGGCATATAAGACAAGGACAGTTTTGAAGGCAAAGTCTTCAAGGCTAGGGCAAGACAAGAACAGTCCTCGAAGGAAGGCAAAAGCAGTCCTCAAAGACAAGGGAGCGTGATCCAAAAACAAACACTTGTTCCTGGCAAAAGCCCCTCACGGCATCTCCTTAACTTCTACTTTCCAGGTGAATCTCTTGAGGAGGGGCGGGACACCCTTCTCATGAGTAGTTGATTCACCCTGTGCTGACTCTGCCTCCTCTCCATTCTCCATGCTTAGAGATTAAGCAGGGGAGGCATTTGCTCATCTTCGGAACTCCTCTGCTGTCTGCCCTTTCTATCTCTCCCCTTTCTCGGTCAACCTGTACCCTCTCTTCCCTGCCTACTCGCCCGGGACTGGTTCATCTTTGTCTCCAGGTTGTTCCTCATGCACCACAGGGACTGCACCATCCCCCTTTGTCAGCCCAGGCTCCCACTCCTCTGCCTCAGACCCTGGCTCCGATGGGGCCATGACACATATGTACTTATCATAGAGAGTTTGAAAATGAGTACATTATTTCTGCTTCACGGTTTAAAAGACAATACTACTTAAAAGGAGTTTTTGAAGCATATAATGTTTTAGATTTATTTTTTTCCCCATTCTAGGACTAGAGGGCAAGAAAAGTCAGCGTCAGAATCAAGAATACAATGGAACTTCCTTTTGGATGGTTAAATCCTTCTCAATGCTGATTTAATATTTACTAGACTCATGGAGTAAAGAATATTGGCAACACACAGAAGGTCACTAAAATGATGGTTTAAAACCAAACACTTTACAAAATGTTCAATAAATGGACCACTAGATGGAGCTTTGAGGGTTTTTTTTTTATTCTAGCAAATAATTTATCCAGAACAGCAACTGGTATTTTAAAAAAGGTCAATATTCAGAGATCTGATAGATAAGGAAATTATTCCAATTTTCCTACAGAGGAGAGAGGAAGATTAAATCTTATACCCAGATTTTATATATATGTATGTATGTATGTATGTATGTATGTATGTATGTGCATATATGTGTATGTATGTATGTATATGTATGTATGTATGTGTGTATATATATATATATATATATATATGTGTGTGTGTGTGTGTGTGTGTGTGTGTGTGTGCGCGCGCGCTGATAAATAAATAAAGGGAGACTAGTATAGATCTATTTCAAGCTATTTAGCTCTCATCAGCTAGCCATATCCTTACTGGGATTCGAAACTCTGCTGTATTACATCTTAGGCAGACGTCTTAGCCATTAAGCCACAGGTCCTCCTCCTTATCAGCTGAAGCCAGGGAAGAAGGTATATATTTAGTGTGACAACCCCTGGTATGCCCCAATTATGGGAGGAAGCTAACTGCTTCCATTATCTGTCAATCAGCTCGTCACAAGAGACCATCACGACAGAAACCCAATATTATTACTGTTGTCTTTGTTACATTTGTGTTATATTTGTGCTGATAATGGAAGGACACAAACAAAAATACCCCTAGGAGAATACCAAAATTAGGTGGTTTGAAATTACAGAGATTTGAAAAAGAAAAAAAAAAGAACAGAACGGGTAGAGGTGCAAGAAAAGAAAATGTAAGGAAAGGAAATAAAAAATCACATTCTAGGTAAAACATTCATCATAATCACAGAAATTATTTCTGATGACAGTTGCAATGCTTCCAACTCAACATATCCTTTTAAACTTCATTCCATGTTTTAAAACAATTGCTTCAAAACATAATAGTTCATATTAGACCAGGTAACACTCAAATATTTAACCTTTTTCTGAATTTTGAAACCAGATTTTTTTCATCAGATCTTTCAAAACAAAAAACGCCAGTTTAAATTGTCAAATATATGCAGTGGTTTTCTAAATGCCTGAGCAGCATTTGAAATAGGTTGGGCCAGAGTACACCAAAGTGATCAGTATTGACTCCCAAAGGCTGATGGGATTCTTCAATACTATTGTTATTTTTAGTACTATTAGTTAAAGTAATGCTTATTATTTTCCAAAAATAAATGGTAAGTGAACAATCTGAAACTTCATGAAGCAGTTGATTAACTGAAGAATTTGGGGATTCCTAGGTTAAGCAATCATTGTACATCCTTATTCTGTGCAGTGGTTATATCCTTATGGAAAAGCCAGAGATCTTTCTGACTATGCAGCTACTGTATTTTTTTGCCATTTTATTAAAGTCACAAAGCTTGCAAGTAACAAGACTTTAAAAATGTTTCTTGATTACAGTTTTTTAAATCTCAGGTTGTATCCTGTCCCTGTGCGGGAATTCAAAGTACGATTGTCCT